AACATGGATGAATGTAGAAAATTGAGAACTATAGTGGTACCTCAGCTTACGAATTTAATCCGTTCACAGAGACGGCTCATAACTCGAATATTCGTAAACTAAAGCAAATTTCCCCATAAAAAATAATGGAAATTGAATTAATCCGTTCCAGACTCTCAAAAAAATTAGCTTCAAAGTAAATTTTGTACCTAATTCACCCAAATTTTCAGTACTAAATTATGTACAAGTTATTACTTACCTTTACTGATGACTCTTGCTGGCGTATGGAACACGGTGAGGAGGAAAGAGGAGGAGAGGTGTTAGTGGAAGGGGACTCCCCTTCCATTATAACATCAGGTCGTGATGACTTTTATGAGGTACACTCTCTGGCACGTTTAGCCTGTATACCACTAGGACCACCTGCTTGTGGCTCACTGCTTATGGCTCATTGCTTGTGGCTCAGAAAAAACCTGTTTAGTGACATTTGTTTTTCCCTATGTTGTAACACCTGTCTGAAGTGAGACATCACATTGTCATTAAAAATGTTAACACAACAGCCTACTACAGCTTGCTCTGGGTGAATTAATAACAACTTTTGAACATCCTCAAGTGTTTGTGTTCTTTGTTTCGTAATTGTTGATGCACCTTTTGCCACTTTAGCACTTATAATGTCCTTTTTCTTAGCAAGTACAGTGCATATCATTGACATGTATTTGTTGTACTGCCTAGCTAGTTCAACAACCCGTGTACCATTTTCATGTTTACGAATGATCTCTTGTTTTTCCTCTATGGTCATTCTCACATGTGTTTCCTTGGCTTCAACCTTACCACTGGCTTTCTTGGGACCCATGGCGAGATTTATAATAACAACTTTTGTGTTCAAATACCCCAAAAAATTCCCCCCCCCCCAAAAAAAAATCTTTACGAAGAATTCAGGCACTATTATCACTAGGCAGGAGGCACTGGTAAGCTGAGGCGCGATCGCCCTGCCACCACGCTCTAAGTCTCCCATACGCGTATCAACAAACTCGTTTCCCAAGGCAAAGCTCATAACCCGATTCAAATTTTCTGAAGAAATTGGCTCGTAACCCGAAAAGTTCGTAAGCTGAGGTGTCGCTGTATTAGCTGGATATCAAATAAATGGATTTAAACTATTTCACACAGATATATTAGAAGAGGAGGGAAGGTAGCCATATATGTTAGGGGAAAATCTGTTATGTAGTCTCAAAGAGGGAATCAAAACTGAGCCACACACAGAAACTATATGGCTAGAATTAAACAAAAAAGCAAATAATCTTATAATAGGAGTTATATACAGGCCACCAAACTTAAGACAGAATGGAAGCAAAGTATCTATGGTATGAAATATCTAGAGCATCTAGGTCTAACAGTATTTGTGCCATGGGAAATTTTAATTTTAGTGGGATAAACTGGCTTAACAGAAAAGGGAATAATGAAGCAGAAGATTTTCTAGAAATAATTGATGATTGCTTTCTTACACAACACGTTAAGGAACCAGTACAGGAAAATAATATTTTAGGGATGAGAACCTTCCCTAAAAAGTCTTGTGTTGATACTTTTAATACCCGTGTTGATCAGACCACACACTAGAAGGTGAAGGGACGACGACGTTTCGGTCCGTCCTGGACCATTCTCAAGTCGCTTTTAATACCCTATTAATTAATAAACATCATCATTCTTCATTTATATGCATATGTCCGTGTAGGGAATTTTATTGCGATCTCAAAGATACCAAATTTAACCCTGTAGGACAAGTGTGGAGTTGACAACCCTGAAAAGAATGGGAACATCTCGTCGCTGTTTGGAGCTCACGCACTAGCTCACGGCTAGTGATCCACATATTTTCTTTATTGGTAGTGGTTTAAATCGCAGTTTGGTGACATTTTATACATATGTTCTTCTAGAACATTCTATTGCGAACACATTGGTAAAAAAATGAAATCTGTACATCGAAAATTAAGAGTAGGACATTGAAAAGAATATACACTTTTCAGTGTTTCCGCTCGATCGCCCGCAAACGCCGAGAGCACATTGCGCTAACTTTTTTCCTTGTTCCCCGGGCGCACACGGGCACTTGAAAGTGTTAATATCCCCTTTGTTATGTCCATTCATCCACTTGTAAACCTCTATCATGTCACCCCTAAATCTTTGCCTTTCCAGTGAATGCAATTTAAGCTTTGTTAATCTCTCTTCATATGGCAGGTTTCTAATTTGGAGAATTAACTTTGTCATCCTACACTGGATACATTCAAGTGAATTTATAGCCATTCTATAGTACAGTGACCAAAACTGAACTGCATAATCTAAATGTGGCCTAACCAGAGGAAGATATAACTGAAGAACAACACCAGGTGTCTTGTTACTAACGCTTTTATTAATAAATCCCAGTGTCCTATTTGCCATATAACTAACATTTATGCATTGATCTTTTGGTTTTAAATTCTTACTAATCATAACTCCCAGATCCCTTTCTCAATCCGACTTCGCAATCTCAACACCATCTAACTTGTATCTTGTAACTCTATCATCATTACCTAGCCTCAAAACTTTACATTTATCAGCATTAAACTGCATCTGCCAATCTTTTGACTATTTCAAAACCCTATTTAGATCGACTTGAAGTGATAGTAATTACCTAAGTGTAGTTACAGGATGAGAGCTACGCTCATGATGTCCCGTCGTTCCAGCACTCTTTGTCATATAACGCTATGAAATTGCTGACGGTTTTGGCCTCCACTACCTTCTCACTTAACTTGTTTCAACAGCTACCACTCTGTTTACAAAAGTGAATTTTCTTATATTTCTCCAGCAGCCTTGTTTCGTTAGTTTAAATCTATGACCTCTTGTTCTTGAAGTTCCAGGTCTCAGGAATTCTTCCCTATCAATTTTATCGATTCCTGTTACTATTTTGTACGTAGTGATCATATCGCCTCTTTTCCTTCTATCTTCTAGTTTTTGCATATTTAATGCCTCTAACCTCTCCTCGTAGCTCTTGTCCTTCAGTTCTGGGAGCTACTTAGTGACATGTTGTTGCACCTTTTCCAGTTTGTTGATGTGCTTCTTAAGATATAGACACCATTCAACTGCTGCATATTCCAGTTATGGTTAGTCTTCTTCCGTGTTTATTTCCCTACCGATTTTTGTATCATCAGCAAATTTGCAAATGTTGCTACTCAAACCTGAATTTAAATCATTTATGTATATTATAAACAAGAGAGGTCCCAAAACAAAGCCTTGAGGCACTCCACTTACAACATTTTCCCACTCTAACTTAACACCATTTATACTAACTCTGTTTCCTTTGGTATAGCCATGCCCTAATCCAACTAATATAGCACCCCCAATACCATAAGCCTCTATCTTCTTAATCTGTCTTTCATGTATCAAAAACTTTGCTAAAGTCAAGTTACACAACATCACAATCCTTATCACTATCAACTGCCTCAACTATGCTGAAATAAAATTATAGCAAATTTGTTAAACATGAACTGCCATTTGTAAAACCATGTTGCAAATCATTTATTAACTTATGTTTTTGTTTCAAACTTGGGTTGGACATGTATATGAGTGGGATTGAGTGGTTATAAATAGGAGCTGCCTCATATGGGCCAATAGTCCCCTCTGCAATTTAAGCCCTTTTATTGACTTAAAGGTCAGTAAGACCTTTATTCTTACAATCTTATCCTACATATTTGTTGACAAGGTCTTGTCCTTCTCTCGTAGAGGTTTGGGACCGTCGTCTTGACACATACTATCGCCTCGTATTGTGCTGCGATGGTGGAGCCGCTGCAGCTTGCTTTCGGTATTGATGTTACTTCTGCACCATTTCGCATGCTGTCACGGGTATTGCTTCACCTCTGGCCTGCTCATGCGCCGCCTGAGTTATCCTGGTCTTTTGACAGGGTGCTCTCATATTTGTCATTTCCTTGTTTCGTTTGTGGCCCCTTTGGTTCAGGATTGTTTTTATAAGGCCCTTTTCTTGTTGGCATTGGCCTCAGGGGGTTGGGTCAGGGAGCTTAATGCTCTCCTCCGGTGCAGGGGTTTTTGCTCTTTTGGTCGTGATGATAGGTTTGTTCGCTTGCGGCAGTCTCCTTCTTTTCTGGTGAAGAACGAGACTGCTGCTTTCCGGAGGGCCCTTTGGGTTGTTGATGCTTGGTTGATCAGGCCAGTGGTTCATCATGTGTTGTGTCTGGTTGCAGCGCTCCGCCATTATTTGCGCACCATGGCCTCGGTGGCTGGGGACTCGCTTTGGGTTGATTCGGTTTCCCTTCTTCCCTGTTCTCGGGTTCGGGTCTTTCAGGTTGTCCTCAGGGTTATTCGGTCCAGCCGGTCTGCAGTCTTTCCCCGTGCCCTTGACGTTCGTAAGTTTGCTGCTCTTGCTGCCGTCTTCGGTAACATGTCCTGGGCTGACATTTGGGCACAGGGTTTTTGGCGGTCGTACAGGGTCTTGACTGCATGCTACCTTGTGAATGTTCCTGGGCCTAGTCGTCGGGCCTGTGTCATTTTGGGTCAGCAGTTGCGGCCAGTTGTCTCGACTTCGAGTTGAGATGTGAGCACCTAAGTCCCTCTAGGAGTGAGTCCTGGAGGCTCCCCGGCAACTAGATGCTGGGGGAGCATCTAGATGGACATTTGTCAGCTATTGTTGCTTACTTGAAACTGAGCCTCTGCGGCATGGTGGAAATTGCGGGGAATCTTTTCAAGATGGCGGCCGATCACAGGAGGCTGTTGGTGTCCATTTGCTACCCAGGTTACCATGCATAAGTTTTGAATCTCTCACAATACCAACAAACAACTTTTCTCAGTGAGCACTGTGCATAGGTTAACATTAGAAAGTCCAGATTTGGGAGGTGCCACTGTATAGTGATTTTAAATACTGTAAAAAAAATTTGGTTAATAAAGTCTACTGGACAGTGGAGATTTATTGGATATAACTAGATAACTAGAAAGATAGGGAGTAGAGATATAACATGTCTAATAAGAGTGAATTTTATACTTTGCAGACATCAGCAGTGCATCTGGGTGAGTTATGGCGGCATGCAGCAGACTTCCACTTGCGTAGCGGTGATGCTCCCACAGCTGCAGCTTCCCTCTTGGAACTCCGCAAACTCCACCCTAAGGACGTCAACACACTCGCACAGCTAATCAGTGCATATGCTCGAGTAGGTCAAGTTGATTTATATTTAAGTGAAAAGAATTACAGATTTGTATAAATATTTTAAGTTGTTGATGAAGTTGGGCAAAGAAAACCTAAACAAAAGTTTGCTTTCTAGATTTGTTACTAATTTAAGGGACAAAAATTCTTTTACAATTCTTGTTACCCTAACTCCACTGGGCTTTGAAGTAGCCATGGACAACATGCCCATACACTCTGCACCAGGCCCAGACTCCTGGAATTCTATATTCCAGGAGTCTGGGCCTGGTGCAGAGTGTATCTATTGCAAAAGAAAATCCTAAACATCTTATGGAGACATAGCATAGATACTGGTGATATCCTGGACATGCTTAAAATAGTGAAGATTGTGCCACTGCATGAAAGTAGTAGTAAAGCTGATGCAAAAAATTATAGACCAAAAGCTCTAATATTGTGCCTCATAAAAATCTTAGAAACAGTGTGTTTTGTGATCTTACTAAGAAGTAAGATCATGAATACAAACTATAGTACTGTATCATCCTTTGCCAATGACACTAGAATTTTCATGAGAGTAGACAATATTGAGGGTACCAATGGGTACCAAAGAGCCAGAGCTCAACCACCCCCCCCCCCCCCAGCACAAAAAAATATAGGTTATCTTGAGATGATTTCGGGGCTTTAGTGTCCCTGCGGCCCGGTCCTCGACCAGGCCTCCACCCCCAGGAAGCAGCCCGTGACAGCTGACTAACACCCAGGTACTTATTTTACTGCTAGGTAACAGGGGCATAGGGTGAAAGAAACTCTGCCCATTGTTTCTCGCCGGCGCCTGGGATCGAACCCAGGACCACAGGATCACAAGTCCAGTGTGCTGTCCGCTCGGTCGACCGGCTGTAGGTGAGTACAGCAAACCTACAATCTGATCTTAATCAAGTCTTTCAATGACCACAGAAAATAACATGATGTTTAATGACGATAAGTTCTAATTACTTCCACTGTGCTGTGGAAAAAACGAAAACATCAGAGCAGGAAACTCATAAAACACAGTCAAACCACACTATTGAAAGAAAAAGCAATGTAAAAGATTTAGGAGTAATCATTTCGAAAGACTTAACTTTTAAAGACAACAACAAAGTAACTGTCACAGTTGCAAGAAAAATGACAGGTTGAATAGGAACCTTCCTAACACGAGATGCCACATCAATGATACTTTTTAAGACATTAGTGCTCCCTAGAGTGGAATATTGTTGCACATTAACAGTCATATTCAAAGCTGCAGAAATTGCTGACCTGGAGAGCATGAAAAGTTCTTGTACTGCTAGAATACACTCAATAAAACATCTAAATTATTGGGATTGCCTAAAAATTTTAAATCTGTACTCCCTAGACTGCAGGCAGGAGAGATGCATAATAATTTACACTTGGAAAATATTAGGAGGACTGGTTCCAAATCTGCACACAGAAATATTACCACATGAGACCAGAAGGCATGGCAGGATATGCAGAACCACTGAAAAGCACAGGTGCAACAGGCACACTGAGAGCTCAATCAACTCAAAGGCCAAAGACTTCAACACAATTTCTCCCATACATACAGGGCATAACTGGCTGATCTCTCACAGTGTTCAAGAGAGAACTTGACAAGCACCTTTAATGGATTCATGATCACCAAGGCTGTGACTCGTGCATCAGGCTGCGAGCAGCCATATCGAATCAGCCTGATTGATTAGACCAGCAACCAGGAGGCCTGGTCAGATTTTCGGGGATGTTGATCCTTGAAATCAACAACATATAATCATCAGGTAGGCTCTCCACCCTGATGGCCTGTCCTCTCTGGGGCAAACTCCCAAACACACCAGAGAAAGTATTCCGAGAGTGCATGGGCAATGTTGAATGAGTGCCTAGAGAATGCAGCTCTAAACAGTTCAGAGTGCAGTTTATGCCAAGTCAACACAAAGGGTGCAACTTAAGAACAAACACTCGGACCAAATCACCAAAATTAGGAATGATTCACTAGCAAAATGACCCCCACAGGACTGAGGCCAGCACTTCTCTTGGAGAAGAAGGGAGACTTGCGATGCAACCTGTACTCGCACTTTCGTATAGTCAATATTGGCTTATTAAATACGTGCATATGTGACATATTTAACATACTAGTTTACCTTGAAAAGCTTCATAGAAAACACCGACCTTACCTAACCTTCTTAGTATGTTAAGATAAGTATCTTATTGCTTCTTATTTACAATTATTACTTAACCTATCAACGGTATAGGTTAAGTAATAATTGTAATTACGAAGCAATAAGATGCTTATCTTAACATACTAAGAAGGTTAGGTAAGGTCGGTGTTTTCTAAGAAGCTTTTCAAGGTAATCTAGTATGTTTAGTATGTCACATATGCACATACAGTGGAACCTCTATTAATGAGTGGCTCTATTAATGAGTTTTTCCAGTAACGAGCAAGCCACTCGCAGCAAATTTGTCTCTATTGACGAGCTCGCCTCTATTAACGAGTGAAACCACATGGCGCTTCCTAGCGTCTCGCGGGTTCTCGCAATTCTCGGACTCCTCCGACGCCAGTGTTGTTGTTGTATCTCACACGACAAGCATCCCTCTGGATTTATTTGCGCTTTTCTCTGGTTTTTTGTGGTTTTGTGACTGCAATTTGTAACGCACGATGTCGCCAAAGAAGCTGGTTGCTAAAGACAGTGTTGGCAAGGGGAAGAAAGCGACAATTACTGTGGAAGTGAAGAAGGAAATAATAGCAAAGCACGAGCGTGGTGTGCGTGTGGTTGATCTCGTCAGGGAATATGGCAGGACCTCATCAACGATTTGTACCATTCTGAAGAGGAAGGAACAATTTAAGACACTTGAGGTGGCTAAAGGAGTTACCAAGGTTAACAAGAAACGTCCAAAAGTCCTAGAAGAGGTTGAAAAGCTACTGCTAGTCTGGATGAATGAAAGGCAATTGCATGGCGATAGTGTCTCTGAAGCTCTTGTCTGTGCAAAGGCCAAGAAGTTGTATGTGGACCTTGTCAGGAAGACACCAGGTGCGTCGTCTGAAGAGGAGGAGATATTTAAGGCAAGCCGTGGATGGTTTGAGAAATTTAGGAAGAGAAGCGGTATCCACAGTGTTGTGCGACATGGGGAGGCTGCCAGCTCTGATAAAGCTGCTGCTGAGAAATTTGTACCAGAGTTCCAGGAATTTGTTGCTGAAAAGGAGTTCTTGCCCCAACAAGTTTTTAATTGTGACGAGACTGGCCTGTTTTGGAAGAAAATGACGAAGAGGACCTACATCACACAGGAGGAACAATCTTTGCCTGGCCACAAACCGATGAAGGATCGGCTTACTCTCGTCCTCTGCGCCAATGCAAGTGGCGATTGCAAGGTCAAGCCGCTGCTAGTCTACCACTCAGAAAATCCATGCGTGTTCAAGGCATGTAAAGTGTATAAGGCGCGACTGAATGTGATGTGAAGGTCCAATAAGAAATCCTGGGTCACGCGGATATTCTTCACTGAATGGATCAATGATGTTTTTGGCCCCTCAGTGAGGAAATATCTTGAAGAGAAACAGTTGCCACTCAAGGCCTTGCTTGTGCTTGATAATGCTCCTGCACATCCTCCACAGATGTGAGATGAATTGTATCCAGAAAATCAGTTCATCACCATCAAGTTCCTTCCTCCCAATACCACTCCACTCCTCCAACCTATGGACCAGAAAGTCATTGCAAACTTTAAGAAACTCTACATGAAGGCCTTGTTGGAGACGTGTGTTGATGTGACCGACAATACAGGGCTGACCCTCAAAGAATTCTGGAAGAACCACTTCAATATCCTGGGTGCCTTACGTTTGATCGATAAGGCCTGGGAAGGAGTGACAAGGAGGACCCTTAACTCTGCATGGCGTAACCTGTGGCCTGAGGGTGTCCCTGAGTGAGACTTTGAAGGTTTCGGTCCTGCACCTGTATCTGCACCTGTGGAAGACCCGGAAGTGCATCTAGTGGATGATATTGTTGCTCTGGGGCAAACTTTGGGTTTGGAGTTGGATGCTGCTGATGTGCAGGAGTTAGTGGAGGAGCACAGTGAGGAACTGACCACTGAGGAACTCCTGGAACTTCAGAAGGAGATTAATCAAGAGGAGGCACAAGAGTTCTCATCAGGGGAGGAGGAGGTACGGGAGGATGCTGCTGCCTCTTCAAGTGAGATCAGGGAAGTGTTAGGAATGTTTGAAAAGGTGACCGCATTCTTAGAAAAACATCACCCTGATCAAGCAGTGACAACCCGATGTGTGAACATGTTTAATGACAATTTGTTGTCTCGTTTTAGGGACATCCTAAAACAAAGACAAAAGCAATTGTCAATAGAAAAGTTCTTTCCAAAAGTAGAGAAACGAAGAGCCAGTGATAGTGAACCACAACCCGGTCCCAGTGGGGTGAAAATCCCAAGAAGAGAGAGCCCGCCTGACTCAGAGGTGGATTCTCCTTCCACACCATAACCCCTCTCCTCCTTCCCACCTCCCCATCGTCTCCCTCAAGCCAGCAATGACTCTTCATAAGGTAAAGTAAATGTTAAAACAGTACAACAAAACATTTATAATTACATGTGCAGTATTATATTGACATTAAAAAATGTCATATAAGTATGGATGTTTTTGGGAGTGGAACGGATTAAATTTATTTCCTTTATTTTAAATGGGGAAATTTGTTTCCAAAGACGAGTTTTCCAGGTAACGAGCTCGGTGCCAGAACGGATTAAACTCGTTAATAGAGGTTCCACTGTATTTAATAAGTCAACATTGACTGTAAGAAAGTGCGAGAACGGGTTGTGCAATGATGAATGACTTGGGAAGTCTGCTTTCCCACTGTGGGTGATTATAACAATCCCCCTGCTCCCTGTGCATCTTCAAGGGGGAGACCAAGTTTTAGCTCTGGTTTCCAGTCGACCAATAGAATGTGTATCACTGATCTGACTCAGTACAGGGAAGCTATCTCATCAACATAGCTTCTATGGGCCACCTAGAAGCTCCTCCCA